ATAAATGACAATCAACAATATAAACCTGACAAAGCTCGGTTCTGTGCACCTGCCTCCTAAAACCATTTAATGCGAAGCTGGAAATCATGGCTCTGCTTGCCATTTGATGTTTTCTATTCCTCCTTTCACAAAGTGCACACGTAAGTTTGCACTGGGATGCCAGGTTCTTCTCTATCTGTCATTCGCAAATGCAGCAGCAAATTTCCTGATACGAGGATGCCCGGTTCTCCTTTGCTAATGCAGAAGCAAGTTCTTCTACCACTGGGATGCCAGTTTCTCCCCATCTAATCTCCATATGCTAAGCTGCAGCGATTCTTTACGGCAGTGAGACATCAGGGTTTCTGGCTCTATCCCTTATTTGCAAATGCGGCAGAACGCTTTTTTGCATCTGCACCAAGTTGCCAGTTATCACCCTACTATCCTTCCAGTGCCAGGTTCTGTCCTTTATCGCTCTTTTTAAAACATCCAAACTCTGCCATGTGCATAATTCCTCAAGGCATCCATTCACTTCTCACGTGCTTTTACTAGCATCGCCTAAACCAGGGATGGGCAACTCCAGGCCTCGAGAGCCAGTGTCCTGCAGGTTTTAGATATCATTATCAGATATCTATATCCTTTAGATATAGATTATTTTTGTTTAGAAATTAGCCGCCTAAGTATCTAAGAGGACTATTATTGACGGGAAACTATCACATGATCTGCAGCACCTGCAGCATGTGTGCTGCTTAAAATAATTTTATCAGAGAATTTATCAGACTGATGGGATATGTTTGTGTTTTCAGAGGTCATAGGTCACAGTCTCCAGTATTAGGCTGTCTGTCTATGAGGAGTGACTGGTCCAAAGACAGACCTCCACAATTCAGCAATGAACCTGGACCAACAACGTAAGAAAAAGTGAATGTATTGAATATAAACTGTAAATAATTCTGTCAAATTTTAATTTGTGAAAATCAGTTTTGTGTATCAGAATTTTGACTACAATTTATTTCCTGGCATTGAAAATCTTTTTATGACACATTTATTTATTTATTTATTTTTAGTTTTCCTCTGATCATCTCTGCAGTTGTCTGATACCTAGAAAAACTGTAATATAATCTAAGAGCACTGTTACTGACAACAAAACATCACATTTTCTGCAGTAGCTGCAGTTTGTGTGTTTAGAGACAATCATCAGAGAAGAGACTGATAGCCTACGATCACAAATATGTTTGTGTTAGCAGAAGTCAGAAGTTGCAGTCTGCATTATCCAGCTGTCTATCTGTGAGCAGTGACTGGTCGAAAGACAGACCCCCACAATTCAGTCTTGGGCCTGGACCAGCAATGCTCTTCAATTATGGACCTGAACTGGCCTCGTAAGAGAACTGCTATTAACTCATTTATTGTGGTTTTGGATAGTTTGTGACTACTCTGCAATTTCAATGATTTTGGATGAATATGGTGTAAAACATGAGCTTTAAACCAAAATCAGATAAAAGGTTTTTAACTGTGATGTCTCTCTCATAGCAAACTGCAGACAGATCAGTCGCAGTTTAATAAGACAAGCAGACAAGAAAAATTTCAAATCATTTTCAGTTCAGTTTTTTTGATTCCAGAATTCCTGAATTTAAACAGATAAGTAGCTAGACGTTTACTTTTTTCTGTGACCTTTAGCGATTCTCCAATGTCATGAAATCTGGATCTTTTTTACCAACAGTTTTCAAATGATTTTAGTGATAAAGAAATGTCTTCACAGACAGAGGAAGAGGAGTGGTGTTCGTAAGGAGGAGCAGCTGTCCTACTGTGCTTTGTGTCAGGACATCCTGAAGGATCCAGTCTCTACCAGCTGTGGGCACTGGTTCTGCAGACAGTGCATCTCCTCACACTGGGACCAGTCTGCTTCATCAGGAGACTCCTCCTGTCCCCAGTGTGGTAAGAGATCCAGAACCAAACCTGGACTGCAGGAGGTTTTAGATGAACATAAGATCAGTCTGAGGAGGAGATGTGAACGTGTGACTGAAGGAAGTGATGAAACAGGAAATAGAACCCTCCTCAACACCATCTACACTGAGCTCTACATCACAGAGGGACAGAGTGAAGAGGTTCATACCCAACATGAGGTGAGGCAGCTGGAGACAGCTTCCAAGATGGACGCCCTCCATGACGCTCCAATCAGCTGCCAGGATATCTTTAAGGCCTTACCTGACCAACAGAGACCCATCAGAGTGGTTCTGACCAACGGCGTGGCTGGTGTTGGAAAAACCTTCTCAGTGCAGAAGTTCACTCTGGACTGGGCAGAGGGCTTGGAGAACCAACATGTCAGTGTGGTGGTTCTGCTTTCATTCAGGGAGCTGAACCTGATCAGAGATGAGCAGTACAGTCTTCTGGAGCTGCTCCATGTTTTCCATCCAACATTACAGAAGGTCCCAGCAGAGAAGCTGGCTGTCTCTCAGCTTTTGTTCATCTTTGACGGCCTGGATGAAAGCAGACTTTCATTGGATTTCACCAACAGGAAGCTGCTGTCTGATGTCACACAGAAGTCATCAGTCAGCCAGCTGCTGACAAATCTCATCCAGGGGAATCTGCTTCCCTCGGCTCTCGTATGGATAACTTCCCGACCTGCAGCAGCCAATCAGATCCCTCCTACATGTGTTGACAGGCTAACAGAAGTACGAGGCTTCACTGATGCCCAGAAGGAGGAGTACTTCAGGAGGAGATTCAGTGATGAAGAGCTGTCCAGCAGAATCATCTCCCACATGAAGACATCCAGGAGCCTCCACATCATGTGTAGAATCCCAGTCTTCTGCTGGATCACTGCTACAGTTCTGGAGCACATGTTGACTACAGAGCAGAGAGGAGAGCTGCCCAAGACCCTGACTGACATGTACTCACACTTCCTGCTGGTTCAGACAAAGAGGAAGAAGAACAAGTACCATGAGGGACATGAGACGAGTCCACAGAAGCTGACGGAGGTTGACAGGGAAGTTCTTCTGAAGCTGGGGAGGCTGGCGTTTTAACATCTGGAGAAAGGAAACATCATGTTCTACCAAGAAGACCTGGAGCAGTGTGGTCTGGATGTGACAGAGGCCTCGGTGTACTCAGGAGTTTGTACAGAGATCTTCAAAAGAGAGTGTGTGATCTTCCAGAAACCAGTCTACTGCTTTGTTCATCTGAGCATTCAGGAGTTTCTGGCTGCAGTCTACATGTTCCACTGTCACACCAACAAGAAGACAGATGTGCTGAAGTATTTTCTTGGTGAAACCTGGGAGGATGATCATCATAATGATTATGATTATGATCTGTTTGATGATCCAGAAATGATTCTCCAGAGGAAATTATCTCTGAATGATTTGTGGGTGTCTCAGAAGCCTTATTCTACTCGGGCGCTTGCACAGAGATCTTCATCTCTGGATGATTTCCTGTGGAAAGTCATGGAGAAATCCTTCCAAAGTAGTAGTGGTCAGCTGGACCTGTTTGTTCGCTTCCTTCATGGCCTCTGTCTGGAGTCTAACCAGACACTCTTAGGAAGTCTGCTGGGTCAGACAGAGAACATTCCAGAAAACCTCCAAAGTGTTATTGACAACCTGAAGTGGAAGAACGATAATGAAATCTCTCCTGACAGAAGCATCAACATCTTCCACTGTCTGATGGAGATGAACGAACTTTCAGTACATCAGGAGATCCAAGAGTTCCTGAAGTCAGAGAACAGATCAGAGAAACTCTCTGAGATCCACTGCTCAGCTCTGGCCTACATGTTGCAGATGTCAGAGTTGGTTTTGGATGAGTTAGACGTGCAGAAGTACAACACATCATACCAGGGAAGACTGAGACTGATTCCAGCTGTGAGGAACTGCAGAAAGGCTCGGTGAGTCCAGATTAACATCAATAATCTGTGTAAATTATTACTTTTGTTCTTCAGATATATCCATCCATCTATTAATTCATTCAGCCATTCATTCTCTTCCAATTATCCGAGTCCAGCAGCAGTGAAGCCCATACCTCTTTCTCCCTAAACACCTCCTCTAGCTTGTCTAGGGGAACACCAAGGCATTATATCAAGGCAGATTGTACTGATACCAATTTGGCATCAGTATCGGATCGATACTAGCCTGGTGAGAGAGATTCTTTACTTTAAGTTCTGCTTTTGTTTGCAATACTGTGCTTTCAGCAAAGACAAAACAGCCAGGTTGCTGGACTCGCTGCTCCCGTGTCAGTGCAGAGCAGACACATTTTACTCCCCCCTTGTGCTTAGGTGTTGCGCTGTCACGTGACCTGACTTAGATGCTTTGGGGGTTGTTACATTCTTTACATATTAATTATATTTTCACCAGTTGTTTTTGTTGTTGAGAATTTTTATTGTAATTTTTGTGTTATAGTTTCTCAACAGTACTTGTTTGTTTTAATTTGTTCATTGGTTTGCGTGCACTTTAAGATTTTTCTAAAAAGAAAAAAAAAACAACTTGATAAGTAAATCACCACCGCAGACCCAAAGACATGTTCATGCTTCGCAGCATCATTTATTTTTACAATAATCTCACGGTTGCGGTAACACTACATTCAACGGCTGCAGCTCTCCCGCTGCCAACCGTACACATCACCACCACCAACAACAACACAAGCAGAGCACAGGTTTTAAGCCGGTGACGGGTAATTTTAGATGCCATGCAGATGTGTCCATCTCACCTGCAGCGGCATCTCAGAACATGCTTTGCCACATACCCCCCTCGCCCACCTGAGGCTGGGGAGCCATCCAGCCAAACTTACTCCCCGGTCCGCGAGCAGGGAATCAGCCCGAACCATCGGCGCTGCATGCTGCGGCCCAGTGACGGGAAAGTGTCAGCTCTGGTGGTTGCCCGCGCATCCAGCGGCGCTGGTGACAAGATGGTTCTCGGGGCTGCTCTGCGCATCCAGCGGCAGCCCCGGAGCTGGTTCAGTGGGCACCCATGTGGCAAGCAGCAGCGGTGCAGTAGGCGTGGAAGTGAGCAGGGGCTCACAGGCAGCTGGGCAGTCAGCCTGCACACAGGACCACTCAGCGTGCCGGTCTCTGTTGGAGGAGAGGCCGGACCGGACAGCATGCCGCCCTTGGGTGTGGCAGGACCCCTACGCACCCTGACCTCCGTCTCCAGCTTAACAGGACCTGCTTGTGCACCAGCCTCCAGCTCACCCCGAGCTGGTCCTTCCCGCGCGTTGTCCACCCGTACAATAGTCACACGGTTCCTGTAACAGCACATTCAACGGCTGCAGCTCTCCCGCTGCCAGCCGTACACATCACCACCACCAAAAACACCCCAAGCAGAGCACATTCTTAAGGTGGCGAGGCGTAGA